CTTATGTTTTCAAAAAGGAGAGAACTCACCCAGCTCATGCATGCGCCAAGAGAAGATTTGGCTGTGTCTAGTGGGAATTCTGGCAATTATTAAAGTCGACATAGACAGTAAACTGTGTGGACTACTGCCATCAGCTGAAAACTCTAGGCAACACAACCGGACCCTTGTTTTCCACTGTTACACTACCCTTTTCCGGTAGGTGCGAGCAGGCGAGTCCCAGGAAGCAATTTAGAGGAGAAAGAAGAAGATGTGATGACTGAAACAAGAAATTTATTGACCTGGCGTTTCGGATTCTGACCCGAGCCCACCATCAGAGACAGTCGCAGATAAGGATATTGGAGGCACAATTAGTGTAGTATTTATAGTACGTGGCTGCCATGAGACCACTTGCCAACCGTATTTACGAATATCTCTGATGGGGGGGGGGGTTGAGTTAGAGTCCGAAACGTCAGGCCAGTAAACTTCTTGTTCCAACGATCGCGTTTTCTAAATTTCTCTTCGCGTCTAAACCAGTACCCCTCAGACATGTTCTTTAGAACTGTTGAACAGCCAAACTGACCCTTCCGCCACCCTCTTAGAGGCATTTTCGAAACGTCTGTGATTTAAGGCAGATATGATCAGTAAAAGGTATTTGTCATAATGAAAGAAGTAACATTCATTGGAAGACACTTTTAGGGTTCTGTAAGCCAGCGGTTTGGGAAAAACACCGCTGGACAGCCAACCTTACGTGCCTTAACGGACAGAGGTATCCTCTACAGAACCCCCAAGACTGCAATATCGCAATTACCCAAAAGCTGTCAAGCGCATCATCTCTCCTGCCGTCTTCGATGCGGCCAGGCTCCTGTCTGACAGGAGAGATCCGATCGATCTTTTTGACAATTGGCGATTTCGAGAGCAACCCTGGACCACTGTCTGCTCATTTGATGATCTGAGGGATTGATCTGTGCCACGGATAACAAAGGCCAGTTAATTGTGAATGTCTTTCACGTTAACAACCATATTTGTAATTAGAAAATAGGAAAACTCGAGGGGCTTAAATTTGGGCGCAGGTGAGTGTTTCGAAGTTACTTGATCAGAACACACGGCCCGTTGAGGATTTTATCAAATGTACTTCCACATATTTCCGGTATAAAAGGCCAGAAGTACTGTCTATCCGATTTCGGAAGGAATAGTAGAAAGGCACTTTTATCGCCAACCTGTAACAATTTCATGCTCATGACAGTGAAGACGGTTACTCAAATAATTACAAATCTATCCTTATACAGGGATGCAGCCTGGGAATTGGAACCCGGTGCATTTGACTCCTCAGCAAATCCCGAGGCCGGCAATTCGGCCGCTTCAAGCCCCTCCACCATCCCAGCAACCACCTCATCGCCAGACGAGAATGCCAAACCGGCGGCCCCCTCCACTCTGACGACTGACTCTCCCCCTAGCCCCGCTGTTCGGAAAGGCATCCGCCGTCGTCGTAGGCTGACAGAAACAGCAACACCTACTTACCGTCATGGCATTACGCGACGCCGAACTACAGTGGCTCACCGGACCCCCCTATCTGAGGTGCAGCCGGCTTGCCACGAGGATGGAGCGTTGGTGCGACTCTCCACTGTTGACGAGGTTTGCCATCTGGATACGGAGTCAGAGGGCGAGACGACTCCCATCGCCGTGACGACTACAACATCGTCTGCAGAGGCTACACTCTCGGGTTCACCCAGCATACTCTCGGTTCTGAAGTACCCCTCTCCTGTGTCTCCACGTGCATCTGTTAAGCTCCAACGACGTAGGAGAAACACAGGTGTCCCCACATCGCGTGGGGGTAGTCATAGGCAAGTGTATCAGCGACACCCGAGCTTGCAAAGGTCTACTGACAATGGTCTTAGACAGACCTCCATTTCAGCCTACTTCACATCAAGTAATAAGGTTGGCGTCATGGATGCTACGAACGAGCTCTTTAAGTCACTTCTTACTACTGAGGTTAAGCAGGGTGGAGGGTACAGTCTGCGTAGTGGTGATACTGGGGCATCGAGTCAGGCCTCTTCCCTGTGTTTGGGTCGCTCGCGACCGTCCTCCCAACAGACCCTCTAGCGTGTGCGTGTGCGGTCATGCAATGCTTCTTGATTGGTGTGGTTTCTGTGTTTTGGATGGTGAACTAAAATCCACGAGCAACCTGCCTCCGCCCTCCTGGCATGTTTTGGTGTGCAGGTAGGCTCTGAGTCTCGAGCCGTCTTTTGGCGCGTTCATTGTACATACCCGTAATTTGCTCGCAGTCCTCTCCCTCCTTCTCCCCCTACCCCGCATTTTGAAGTATGTGGCAGTCCTCGAAGGCCATTCGCATTCTGAGTGCCTCGTTCTGGGCTGTTGTTTTGGGTAGACGCTGTCATCGTCTTGGTACTTATTGCCTCCCGGTGCTGTAAGGTTGCAGTATTTGTGTGAGGGGTGGTCTGTTTGAGCCCGTAACATCCGAGGTCTCTAGTCGTCTTGCAGGGCATTTTTTAGTGTGAGTAAACAACAAGACGTTTCTTTTCCCTTTAAGCCCAGATTCTATGTTTCTGTATTGTCGGTTTATAACGTTCCAAATCGCTGAATTAATCGTGAATTGATGGTATACCGCGCTTGTCATCCCTTTTAGTGAGGAATTGGAGTCCGTGACTCAACTTATTAAGCACCGGTTGCAGTTTTATAATATTTCATTTGACCTATCGCTGAAGAACTCATGACTGCCTTTTCGTTGCAGGGGATTACTGGTGTTTGGTTGGAACATTTACTATCGAGTATTTCATCCTTGCTAGTATTGTGACTTTTATATGAGTGTCTTTCCGGCCGCTTGTCAAAACCTAACTCGAGATATTTTCTACATATGTGGTGTGATTCTTCTATCTATTTTCGATGCTTTTGCAAATCGAAACGTAGTTTACAGAAGGTATACACAAAAGAATCCTCTACGTGCTTATTTTACAGCAAATTACGTCATCGTCAATCTATGTACTGGAAGATCGCGTGGCCTCGTATCTCAAAAAA